CTAGCTGCCATGTCGCGGGTGCGGGTGCGGCTAGCTGCTGACTTCTACAGACCACGCACACTCGACGTCGCGACATCATTAGTTTGTTCCATTTGGTCGCTACAGAGCTACTCCCACCGCTTCCTCCTCCAACGGGGGTCTCGACAGTCCGTCGGTACACCCATTTGCGTTCCCGGACGATGCACTACCGTGAAGTCCAGGCTTTGTAGGCCGTGAAGTCCAGGTTTTGTAGGTGAACGGCCCACCGAGCCAGCTTCCCGTTTCCCGACTTCGATCCCGTCTTGTACAGCCAGACCAGCGCAGCGTGATCAGTGTAAACCGTGAAGTGTCGGCGGTCGATATAGGGTCGGAACTTGCCCGTAGCCCACACCAGCCCGTAGCATTCGATTTCGGACGTCCCGTCTTTCTTCGAGATCCATCTCTGTTGAGTGGCGTCCAGGGCTTGGCTTGCGTACGCAATGACGCGGTGTCGGCCACCTTGTTCTTGCATCAGGACGGCGCCTAATGCAATCGGGCACGCATCCACAAAGATCGTGAACGGGAGATCGAAGTCAGGGTAGACCAGGATTGGCGGGCTCGTCAGCTTTCGTTTGAGTGCGTCCAGGGCGCCCTAGCATTCGGGAGTCCATTCAAATTCCTCCGCGACCTTCAGTCTTTCCAGGGGCCGCCAGATGTACTCCTGGAGCACGCCTTCCATCAGTCGTTGAAACTGAGGCACTGCGTTGCAGAGGCCAAATGGCATCACGAGCCACTCGTACAGGCCGAACTTGCACGTGAACGCCGTCTTCTCAATGCTTTCCTCGTCCATTCGCACGTTCCAGTATCCCGACGCCACGTCCATAGTCGAGAAGTACTTCGACTTGCCCAGAACGTCGAGCAGGTCGTGGACTCGCGGTATCGGGTAGCAGTCCTTGACTGTGACGTCGTTGAGTCGTCGGTAGTCAATGCAGAATCCAATGGACCCGTCCGGTTTTCTGATCATGAGTACCGGACTCGCCCATGGGCTCGTAGACTTCCGTATCAGTCCCAGCTCCAGGTATTGTTTGATCTCCGCTTCCATGATCTCGCCTTCCTTCTGGGCCACTCGGAAGGGTGCTTGTTTGATCGGGCTGTCTCCGGCCGTGTTGATGTAACATTTGACGAGGTCTGTTCGTCCGGGAGCCTTGGAAGTTGTCACGAAGAGATCGAACTTGAGCAGTACTTTTCGTAGCTGTTCCTTCTGTTCGGCACTCAGGCTAGATTCAGTCCAGTCGATGGGGATTTCTTCCTTCGGTGCGGGTGATTCAGTTCGTACCGCCGCACACACCAGAATTTTCTTCATTTCGTCGACATTGACTCCCTCTCCCCCTGAACAGGTCGCACGCCCGGCATGAACAGGCGACATCCGTCGACGCGCGGGTCGTATATCCGTGGTTGTCCATGAACTGCTCCGGGAGCGGAATGGCAAGGCCCACTACGTCTCCTTTCCGAAGGTACACGCCGTCCAGTCCCGTATTGCGGGCTTGGACCCAAATGAGGCCGACCCCGACTGCGTTACAGAGAACGTGCCATCACCAGTGGAAACGTCGTAAAGCAAGGTTCTGCCAGGACAATGAGTTGTGCTCCAGGGGTTTCTTGGACCTTGCATTGTATCACCATCCGGGAGCACCCTCGCAACCAAACTGGATGATGTACGAGGAGTGAACTTACGCCCGCCACGTGCCTTGAGTCGTCGTCGGGAGTCGAAGCAGGGACCTCCCATACGGGCTCCACGCAGTCCGGGACTGACTCCGTGGTGTTAGTGGACCGGTCGGCTTGGTGCAAATGTACCACCGAGCAAGTGTCCTCGGCCATGCGGTCTTGATAAACGAAGGGTACCAACGCACCGTTCCCGAATTGGAGACAGGCTCGGGTGCAGTTCACGAGAGCGCCGAGCTTGCGGAGCATTTTGTACCCCAAAATGCAAGGGCTCACCGCCCCGTCCATGACCCACAGTGAAAAGTGGGCGCGGCACGTCCCGACGGATATCACAAACTTGGTGAGCCCCTTCGTGGGCATCTTGGTGTTGGACGCTGAGATCAACCCGTACTTCGGTTGCACCAACGGAGGGCTTCCTAACAGTCGCCAGATGTCGGGGTTGATCACACTGACAGAGGCGCCGGTGTCCACTAGGGCGTACACCTCGACTAAGAGTTGTCGATGCTGGATGACCGCCTTCACGAGGGGAACCGCTGAGTCTTCGGCGATCTGACCCGCGACCAAAGGCTCGGACGGCTCACCAGTCGTCGTCATCACCCGACGAGCGCAGTCCTCACGGACATCGTCATCCGGGACATCCCGAAATGGCCAATCCATGTATGGGCTTGTGACTGCCGTCGAGGCCTTGACGAGTCCCGTAATGCAGGCTGCGCTTGGCTTTTGACTTCTGTCGGTTGAATTCTTGACTCGACGAGGCGTCGTGAGGAGCGTTTCGTCTCGATAAAAGGCGTTGAAGTACACGCGCCGAGCCGACGTTGGTTCACGTTGCCGACGCCAATGCTTGGAGGGCAACCGCTTGTCTTCCAGTTCGACTAATGGTATGTCGGCTTCAACGTCCGAGCCCAAAAACGCCATCGGGCCAACGCAGCGAACCAGAGCATCAGACGGTGTCTGTTGGTAGCTCGTTGTAGAGTTGCAACTTGAGGTGTTCGACCCGTATCATTTGACTCCGTGACTCTTCGGGCCGTAGGGCCCATGCCTCTCAATTCTTCAGACCCAATGGCGGACCGATACAAGCGAGCCCACCCGGTGGAAGCCACCACCGAGTCGCAACCAGTACTGAAGTCTCGGCTAGCCGTCCGGGCTTCTTCACACGTTTTCAAGGCGTCCCTGAACCACTGGCGCCATCGTTCAGGATCATCGATGTTGACAGGGTTTTCTAACATACTTTCGTCGCTTTTGGTCAAAGGTCGCTGCAGGGTCGCCGTGATGAGGTCCACTATTTCTTGGTGGGTCACGTCCCAGCGCAGAGCGCGCAATTCCTTGACTTGTCGTTCAATGTCTGCGGCGGACAGCGGGTAGAGCCGTTCCTCAACATCCACATGCTTGGAGTCTGGTATGCCCTCCCAGTCACCGGTTTGTATCGCTTCGATCTGCTCCATCGAGAATACGGCCGGCGACGCCGGGTCCATCGCTGTCGACACCACAGAGACGGCCGGGTTAGTCATCTCTTTTGCGGGAACAACAGTCGACAGGAAGCGCGTCGCTCCCTCGCCTTCGTTGGCGCTGTTATTGTCGTCCGGGACCTCGCCATCCCGGTTTTGTCTTGTTTCTCGGTCAGAGCCCCATGGCCCCACTGGCCCAAGGGTCGTCTTCCTCCCACCCACGACATTCAGTCCTCGTGGGGTCTCTTCTTTCGCGTCCAGGGCATCCATACCTCCTGGTTCTCGTTCATCATCATCATGGCTCAGGGCATCGTGTCCTCCTGAGGGTTCTTCATCACCGTCCTCGCCCTGGACACCGTGTCCTCCTGGGGTTCTTCCTTCATTAGCGCTCAGGGCATCATGTCCTCCTGAGGTTCTTCCTTCTTTCATAAACGCCACCACCTCGTCAGGTGTGGGTTGCTTGGTCCCATCGACTACCAGGGCGACCCCTCCCGTTCCGGTTAAGGAGGGTTCCTTGTAGTCGAGAGCTCTTCTAGCGGGCGAGTAACTCGGCAGCGGCAGCGCCCTGACATTTCGGCCAGACGCCGTCTTGTCCCTTGGCGACATCGTCGGAGCTGCTGGCGCTTCAGTATACCCCCCGTTTCCACTTGTTTTCAAGGTGTCCGGGACGACCAAGTCATCCCGGATTCCCTCTCTCACTTCCTTGCTTTCTTCTGTCTTCACTTGCGCCTCAGGTCTAGGCGTGTTTTTCACTTGCAGTCCTTTTCTTCTCATTCCATCGAAAGTCACTTCTCCAGGATCGATCGGTAGCGCGCTACTTTCGGAGGCTCGCATCCGACCTCCGAATCCTCACTGCGATCCTTCCACACTGGAGGCTCGGCTCCGCCGCAGAGGGCATTCCCGTTGGAAGTGTCCTGTTTGGTTACACTCGTAGCAGTTGAAGTTTCCAGGCGCCGAACCCGGTCCACCCTCGCGCCCACTTGCGCTCGAACCGCGGAACCCATTCCTCGAGGGCAGCCGAGGCAGACCACACTCCACCAGATGGTGACCCTTGGACCGACAACGCATACAAGCGAAAGTTCAACGGGGGCAATTCTCTCGGCCATGACCGACCAAGTAGCACCGCCCACAAGCAGTCATACCGTCATTGGTGGTTCGGTCAGGGTGGGGTCGGATGTTCGGTTGCACCGGAGTATTCCCGTCCGCTCGCATCCCGGACGATCCAAGCCCAGCGATACCAGCCACCACTTCATGCAGAGTCGTGTCTTGCCGAGCACTGAGTTCCGATACCTCCCCCCGAAGTTGAGTAAGAGTATCCTGGAGGCTACGTAGACTCATCCCGGAAACTCCCCGACGTGCGTGAACTTCTTGGGCTACCGCGAAGCGACGATTGGCGTGACGAAGTCGAGGCCATCGTGTCCGGGACCGTCTTTCGAGCTGTGGACCGAACGTCGTCCCCACGTTGATCAATTTCCACATCGCGTTCGCGCAGGTATTCCAGGCAGTCGCTGACGGAGCGGTGTCTAGACTCCTACTGTTGCAGGACCATCCTGCGACCTGATGGACAGGGCAGTGGGGATGTTCTCGACAGAACCGGGTGTTCTGACTGCCTCCCAACAACTCCACGCACTGTCACCGACGTCAGGTGCCAGCCTCTATCTGAGTGCAGATAGAGGCTGGCGATTAAGCTCAGTAAGCATAACCACCACAGGTTACACCATCTTTCGTCGTGACGAGGGCCGTCGGACACCCCTTTAGGC